CCTCCCAGGCAGTGGCCCTGGTGGAAGGCTTCCTCCTGAGCCAGGCGGAGGAGCAGAAGGACCAGGTCGAGTTGGAGGTGAGAGACCTTCATTTTGGGAGCTCAGAAGGGGTTTGAATGGAATAAACAATGTGTTTGAATTCTTAACCCATGCCTACCAGAGTTCTCTGGAATTCATAATTTGTGGAGATGTTTCACTAATTCTTGTTGGACATTGTTTTGTTATCCATTCTAGAAGACAGATTTGCGACCGCCGTTCCTTTCTTACTTTCCAGCCTCACTGATGGACATTGAGGGCTTTGAAGTTGTGTTCAGAGAACAAGAATCCACTTCATGTTGTGTGATATCTGTTAATTCTTCTTCTTTTCTCCCGCCTCTTATTTCAAGTCCTTCACTGTGGACATCAGAGATCCTGAGGGAAGGAGGAATCCTTCAAATCCCCCTCAGGAGCTGTTCTTCAGGAGGATCTCTCAGGAAGATCTGAGTCAGGACACCTCAGGAGGTAATCGAGGGTCCTCCCATTCCCCAGAGAGATCCCAACTCTCATCTTCTCTACATCTTCTCTTCTGCAGCATACTTCCTCCTATTTTATTAACTATGCATTTTAAAATTCTGTCTCCCTCACAGGGAAGAGTAGAACGAAGTTGACTCCTTCTTATGGTGGAGCTGAAACAGCAGTTGAATCTCTAACTCAAGTAAGAGGAGGAAATTTATTTATTAGATTTGTATTCTCCCTTCCCTTCACTCTCTCCTTCCATTTTTCCCTCTTGTTTGGGCTGGGTTATTTTCATGTCCCTGAGCAACATAGAAGATTCAAATGTGATTTTATTAGGAAATCTTTTTTTAAGACCAGTATTTAACTCTCCTCATGTTAGTTACTCCTGTAGTATATATTTAATAATGAAATTTATAAAAAGATCTTTCAAGGGATAGGAATAACACTATCATAGATGTAGCAACTGCCCAAAAGAGACCCATTTTGTTCCTAATTCTTTCACAGTGGCTCATTACCATTTTTAAAAAGCCTTGTTTACAACAATAAGAAAAATAACCCCATCAGATTAAAAGTTAAGACTAACTATTAAAAACCCACGAAGGTGGACAGATAGAAGAGTCTCTAAATAAATGTTTTCTGAAAGAGTATGTAATCAAGGCACAAAACAAGGCAAATAATTTCTCAGACAAAAAATCCAGCTTTGCAAAGGCTAAGAAATGTCCTTCCCAGGAATTTTTCTTCAGCTTTTTGTCTTCCATTCAGCCAATGCCTTGGACCAATAGCAGCTTCCCTGCAATCTGTGGAGGTGCAGAAATTGGGTTGCGTGTCTCTAGATATTGATGGCCCCCCACAAAAGTCCATGGCTGCACTTTCCCTGCACTTTCATGAAGGTGTTGACCATGGACAGGATTGGTTCTTCTGGGGACACCATAAGCCATTTGCTGAAATGCTAGAAAGAACCCCCCCCTCCAAATTTCCTTCTGCAAACACAGGAAGGATTGGAATCACTAATTGGTGGGGTTTCCAAGGCCCATCTGCCAGCTGATTTCCTCCAGACGCTGAGAGTTTTTCGATGATAGATGAATGGATAGACAGATAGATGGATAGATATCAATCGATCCAGAAGGAAACTGTGGTCACTTTCACTGAATGGCACTGAAAGCCCTGCAGAACCAACCAAGTTGATCAAACCTCCCTGAAATATTTCTTCAGTTAAAGGCTTTTGGCTCTGTCTATTTTCTCACCTAAACCTTGGAATCCTCCCATGTATAGTCATTTGACTTAGTGCATATCTTCACTTTGGGAATTTGGGAAGAATAGGACAGATCTTGCAAATTCTCCTGGGTTTGTTCTGTTTTTTTTCCTTGTCCAGGAGGGTCTTGTGTCCTTCGAGGAGGTGGCTGTGTATTTCTCCGAGGAGGAGTGGTCTCAGCTGGATCCCCAGCAAAAAGCGCTGCATTGGGAAGTCATGCTGGAAAATTATAGGACCGTGGCCTCTCTGGGTAAGGGTTTGCTATTCTCCAGTCAGAGATTTGGAAGACATTTTGTAGTTAGATGCCATCAGCTATTTCATCATCATCATCATCATCATCATCATCATCATCATCATCATCATC